AAATTATGTGGTTTTTACTTATATTTTATATTATATACTAATTGGCATGTTTTATCATGTCAATAGGGTTACCACGTTAGTGGCTAAGATCCTTTTTTTTTTCTTTCAAGAACTAGAGCCTAAAACATGCACTTCACATCATTTAAATTAATGACACCTTCAAAAGTTTATCTAATATTGATAGGAGAAAATCAAGCCTAGATAATCTATTGAATTACTAATTTTGTTCAATTTTGAATAGCTTACAGTTGAATCACTTGGTACATTTTTTGAGCATTTTCCAGAAAATGAAAATTAAGAAGTTGTATTATCAAAAAACCATATTTTAGGCATGAGCACACATCAAATTTTTAAGAGAAATGCAAATTCAAATGGAAATCTCATCCTAGGAGACTAGTATGTCAAGTAAGAGAGTTTCTTAAATTTATAAACTTTATTTTACTTGTGATGCCTTTGATGTGAGATTCATGACATAATATGTGTGACCTGGTAGAGATCCCATGTGTGTAGTGTCCCATATCCCACACCCCCCGAATAATGTGGATGTAATGAGCCCTTCAGGGTAATCCATTTCCACCCAACCACCAAGCAGCCCAAATAATTAGCTCACCTTTGTTTGTTCTCCTTGATTTTCTTCTTTTCCTATAATTTCTCCTTTTAGAGTTCTTTTTCCTGTTGATATCAGAAGGCACACTTAGCGACAGCTAAGGTGGATTATTACAATCAGCTAAAAGTAAAGCCTCCATATCCGATAGCATCCGGTTAAAACCAGGCCAATTACGTAATGCAAGCTTCGTGAATGGTCAGCCACTGCATTTCCTTCTCAATTAACATGTTGTAGAATTAACTCCCATTCCCTTTTACCAGTCAGATGGATTTCCTCAATGAGTTCAACATACTGGTGAGAACGGTTGTACTTTCCCTCAGCAAGTTGGATGGCTTCCAAGCAATCGCTTTCAATGATGAATTTTCGGTGTCCTAAATCCCACTCTCCTTCAACCGCAGGAGAATCGCCCACAATTCCTTTTCTCGCCCGTCATTTCCCAGGTGTCCATGGCTGAATCCAGACAAGAAAGCTCCTACATGATTCCATATCACTCCTCCGCATCACCCCCCCCCCCCAGAAACAAGTAACGAGCAGGCCCCATCAACATTAATCAAGACCCGGTCCACTGGGGGCATGCCATGATATTTGACGGGGTCTTTGAGCTTGTCCCGAATTGTTAACATTAACCAGATGGTCCCTTTAATTTGTTTCTCCATAGATGCTTGAATCGACCTCACCCTTGCATGCATACCATATTGCTTATCTCTCTCCCTTAAAAAACACATAAATTCCATCTTAGCCAGATCTGTCAGCAGCTAAGGGAAAATATAGCATCCCAATCGGAGCTCATCTTACATCCTGAACTAGATGTGTTCTAGTGCACCCACTGAGCCAGGCTGTTGCCAAAGAATGCTCCTTGGTGACTCGGTTTAACAAGCTTGCTCTAGCATTGGTATGTTTGAGGGCGGTCCCTCATCACATGAAGAGTGGACTCTTTATGTCTAGGGCACCCTTGACAATGATCCGACGTAGTCATCTTCCTCGATCTCCGATTTTCATTGGCGAGTAAGCGATTGTGGAAGAGAAACCAGACAAAAGACTTACAACGCTGGGGCACGTTCAACCGCCATGTCCGACCCCACTTGCTGTCCCCACTAGGCTCTTCTTTTAATTTGATAGATAGTTATAGGCCGACTTGACCGAAAACTCCCCATGCTTTTCCCATTTCCACCTAACGTCCTGACCTCCATTTATAATTTCCGAGCTCGCCTTAACTTTGTCCCACGTAGCTTTAATGCCATACCATGTGTTTGATCCCGGTTTGGACTTCTTAATTACTGGAAGTAGATCGCTGCTGCTTTTGTATTTTTCTCTTACAACTCTAAACCAGAGATCTTCTTTTTGTTTCATAAGCATCCAGCCAAGCTTCATCAAGTTCCTTTTGGAGTTCTTCCCAAAAGAAAATTCCCATTTTGAAAACGCGGAGAAGGTAGGTCCTCGAATAACTTATAAATAACTAACATAATCTTTTCCTTCTAGTTGAAGCTTCATTCATTCCGAATAAACGAGAGGTTTTGGTGAATCTTTTCTCTCCTTTCGCTTTTTCTTAATTATTTTTCTCTCCTATTTGTTACACATTTATATAAATAAAACTTTTTCGTTTTTTAGGTTTCTAGCTAGTAAACTTTAAAGAGATAATCATTTGAGACTCCAGCCGGGAAGTAAGTATTTAACATTTTAGGTGGTTATGTTCAAGACTACATATGCGAGAGACAGAACGAAACGACAGATAAGAAAATCACAGCGTATTTACAGTGAAATAGCTTTTGAATTAAAGAATATCTATACATGGACACATAATTGGACGGAGTTAATCAAAATGCAGAAATGAAAGATGGATCAGGAGCATTGTTTCCTATCGGCGTCACGTAAAACGATGATTCGGACTTTAAAACGGCCAAGCTTGCGAGCCAGGGAGGGCAGAATACCACGACGACCACGAAGCCTTGTGGAATAAAGCCTTTTTACTTTGAAAAGCCTGTTGTCAAAGCGATGAAACTGAGCAGCCTCCTTCGTCCGGGGAAGATAGGGAATACTGTAGCCGACGACGTCGTCGCTGGAAGAAGTTGAAGCCTCGGGATGACAGGGAACTTCCATATCTGAAAATGCCGAATCAAAATAAGCCCGAGTACGGGATTAATCAACGGTGGCTCACTGTTCAAGTACACGGACGGAATTGATGAGAAGTAGAGTTGTTTGTTTTGGGAGGGGATGAAAGGATTTTGGTTAATTTGATTCTTGGGGTTGCTTGGAGGGCTTATATATACACAAACTCACACACACACACACATTCAATGTTGATTGTAGTGAAGTGAACCAACCCGAAGTCAGCAGTGAAGTGGTGGAAAGATCATCGTCATATATATGTGACTTAGCGTAACATTTTCAAATCTAAAATCCCCTGCATTTCTTGTGTATCTTGAGATTTGACAACTGCACAAAGACAAGAGTCATTTTAGTTAATTATTTAATTTCATTTCAATTCTTGCGTACATAATGAAAAATGTTAAATTTTTTATTGAAATTAAGTTTGATCAAGATGTTCTCACTAAAATTTTCTCTACATTTTAAACTCATCCGAAACATATGAAAAACATCTAAAAATGAATTAGAATATAATAACATTAGTCACACAACGCAATGTCATTGCTCCCTCTTGTCTATTTACAAGAGCTAGTTGATCTTGTTTAATTATATGACCTGATCATTGTTGTCTTTCCCATTTATTAAGATTTTTCTAAACTATGCCCCTGATCAATTTTTTAATGGACTTGATTCAATTTGCTTTCTCTCCCTCTCTTGTTAAATGGGGGAGTACTATTTTAGGAAAAGTATAACAATTTTCTTGTTAAATTAATAAATGTAAGTAACCAACTTAATTAACTCTTTTTTCTCAATAATTGTGAATTGGGTAAAAAGATCTTATATAAACTAGAAGTGGTATGAAAAAGTAAGATATTTAAAACTGGATCATTGAACCGATCAAGGCACTGGGTCACGAGTTATTCAATCGGGGGTCAAATCGGTGACAAACCAGTCATGATTAAAATAATACAATTTAAATAAAAAACATTAATTATAAAAATATTAAACCAAATTCAAGATTAATCTCTAATACAAGATACCAATACAATAATAATTATAGAAATATAACCACTTAAAAGCCTAACAATAGTAAAAAAAAATAACAATAGACAAAAACTATTAGAAATACTAAGTAATGATAGACAAATTAATGACAAAAAATAATGTAGGAACCACTTATTCTAAATTAAAAATGCAAAGAAGGAAGAGGCATAACAATTAAAAAACTAATGATTAGACAATGAGGAGATTCACTGAAAGAGATAAAGGATAGCAATGTTACGACGAGTTCTGCTTTACAACAAGTTTTGCTTCATGGCAAGAGAGAGGATAATTGAGAGCGACATGAGTTATGCATCACAATCACGGTGAGTTCTATACTTCTACTACATAGCAAGAGAGATAGAGTTTGAACTAGGAAAGCTAGGAGCTCAAGAGAGCAACAACAATAGAAAGGGCAACGATGATGGTTGGTGACCGATGGGTGGAGTTTGATTTGAGTTAGGGCTAGGGATGAGTGTCCAAAGTTGGTAGGGGTGGGGTTCGATTGATTTTCAAAATTCAAAAACAAACCAACAAAGCATTTTTGCCCTTTTGCTTTTTTAATTTTTTTTTAAAACCCCCAAAACATCATATTTTGAAAATTTCAAAGGGCAAAATAAAATTTTTTGAGGTTTTTGAAGGGTAAAATAGGTGATTTAGTTAACCTAACTAACCCGTCAGGTTATCCAGTTTACACCAGGTTGACTCCGGGTTGGCTGAGTCATTCCGGGTCACTTGCTAACTGGGTCAAAATGAAAGCCGAATTAGTGGAGAGGCCGGTTCATGGGTTGACCCAGCCGGTCCGGTCTAAGTTCTAATACAATACAAAAGAGGTCCCTTCACAAAAATAATTAAGTACAATAAAACAAAACAGTAAAACAAAAAAAAAATATAAAACGTGTCTTGGGAGCTGAATGCTGCTGACGAATTCTCTAATCATCAGCGGCAATGGCAGCAAAAGATGATGACAATAATAACCATGAAAAAGATGAATTGAAATTATGAATTCTAGGCAAAGGGTAGGCCGAATACGTAAATATTTTCGTCACTTGGAGAAAAAACGTTCGACTACTTCCCGGATTTCAAATGCATTTTCTACTATATAATATAAAAATCTTATAATAGAACTTGATTTTTTTAAAATAAACAAATTTCACATATCATATACAAACCAAATTAAATAGCCATTAATTATCTGGACAGGGAATTCATAATTTTTTAAACTTTGATGTCTAGAAACAATTTTAAGTTCAATATTATCCTCAGATGCTAATTAAATGTCAAAATTTCCATTATGTGGTCGTCACTGTGTATGGCACAAAAGTAGACAAGTAGTTGCAGATGCACCTAATTAACCTAACCCCATTCTCCAACCAGTTTGTGCTTTTCATTGTGTATATGGCAATCCATATTCAACAAATGATGTAAGAGCTTTCCTCAAGTCTTCCGCTTAATTGGGTTGACGGTGTATATGTAGTCCTTGAGCTTTTAAAACAAACTAGATTAAATCCTGTACATTATAAAAAAATTATGCAACACAATGTAGATAACAACATTTACTAAAATCCAATTTAACTAATAATTTTGTCTTGTTAAAATAAAATATTGTGTGTGTGTGTGTGTGTGTTCAATTTTAAGAGTAGACAGAAAAAAATGCATGAGTTAAAGCATCTACTAGATCATTGGTAATAAAGTTTCCTTAGAAATCATATGAAGGAATTTTTGGAATTCATTTAATTTAAAGAAAAAAAAAACTACCAATCATATTATACTGTACATATAATAACATCAATAAAAGTTAATAGAGTATTATTATACTATTTTAGCGTTACTGAAATGTTTTGAAAAACAAATTGAATTCATAATAATTTAAAAATTTTAAAAGAAAATGTAAATGCTATTTGCATCGTACATTGCTTATTTATCATTTTAAAGGTTAAATTAATTTTTTATTTTCAAAATCAATTTCTGCAAAATAATTGAAAGGCACAGTATTATTTGTTGTTGTTAATTATTAATTGACTTAAAGAATGAATTATATTATTATTATTATTATTATTACTAAACTCAAATCCGGTGCATTGCATGAATGATCGTTAATTCATATGAAGTCAACAATTTTTTACTAGATTATTTAAAATTAATAGTTGACATTAGACATAATACCATGAAATTTTCCAAGAGCTATAAAAATTCAAACAAACCATGCATATACATCATTTAAATTAGTCCAAACAATTGAAAAAATTTAATGAATATATATCTGAATTTTTAATGCTTAATAATGACTATGAAACTCATGAGTACACAAAATTAATATGATATGGATAAATTGAGGGAAACTATACAATTCTACCCTACTTTCTCCTATTTGTATCAAACATAAAATAAGCTATGGCAGAGGATTGTGTGCTGTAGTAAAGACATGTTATTCACCTTGAAAGGGATTTGCCACTCAATTCATTCCATCCAACATCATAATAAACAAAGACAGATAATATAATTAATAAAAAATTTTTTTGAAGTACATCGTATATTTAAAAACTAAAAAGAAAAGAAGTTAAACACATCTGTACATGCATGAGTGGTCCACTACCAGAGGATATCGGATTCCATTTCGTGATATAATTAGCATGCATTTTTGCTAAGCTAATTAAGTCTACTGACATTGCAACGAATGAGATATGATTAGATAGAGGAGGTAAAACTTTAACTTTAAATTCTTTCAACTCTACTGCAAAAGTGCTGGCAGGAATCTGAATGCATAATTGACGGAGTTTTTGGGGTTTGACTTCCCCCAAAAATACTTAACATGAAGAACACAAAAGATAATGCATAATCATACTGCATATTTGAAGGAATTCCTGAACGAAGACACTGACAAAAAGACTCAAAATGCTGAATACAAAATATGACGTAGTCTAATACTACACATTCAAAATATAAAGCGAAAAAAATGCTTAGAATTAACAACTAAGACAATTAACTTACTCAGTAATAATGCTCTTCTTCTTTACTTCTCGTGCTTGATGACTCTTGGATTCTTCTGGTTGAGCTGAAAGATGGTGTGCACACTTCAACTATACGTGTCGAATCTGGAATAGAGTCATTGACAATCATAGAATTCCTTTTCTTGCCATTCATTTCAGGAGCAGTAAATGACTCAGGCATGAAAACTTCTCCAGGATCTCTGGGTTCTCAATGCATTGAGACACACAAGAGAAGATGTTTTCTGGTGAAGGTTGAATTCACCGATCTTGATTCTCATGACCATCTCTCTTCCAGCAAGAATATGAAGTGTTCTAGGGAAATATCCTTTCCTTGAATTCTGGGGAAAAAAATTAGTATACAGTTGATTCCTGTAGGAATTGATAGTATCAACTTGTGTACCTATCTGATGAAGGATAATTTCTGATTAAATTATTCTGCAAACCTGAGCAAGCAACTCTTGAGCAGTAGTTTCTGATTAAATTAGTCTGTCAGGATTAGAAAAAAACTTGGTAGAATCCCCATAGTTTGAAAGTTGAGAATTGCCTGGAAATGAAGGAAATAACATTTTAAAAAATGCTGGACTGATAAATTAAGAATGAAAAATATGGAAAATTACCAGATTCACCTTTGTAGAATCCCATAACACACATCTAGACAACGACGACGACAACAGGAGGCACAATATCTGAATTCTTGCCATTCACAGCATTCAGAGTGGTGTCACCAAACTAAACAACGTCTAAAGGCTTTTGTCTATACTGAAAATAAGTTAGGATATTAAAGGATATAACAGTGGCCAACTCCTAATCAGGAGGCACAATATCTGAATTCTTGCATATGTTATTCTGGATTTGATAAAGTACCAACTCCTAATCAGCTATGGACGGCGTTAGTCTCTTTTTGTTCTCAATCCCAGTCTTGTGATCTTGGATGGAACCGAACCATTGCAAAAACCCCCACAGCATCTGCAACAAACAACTAAACATTAAAACAGAGAGAATAATGAAAAGAGACCACAGAACTTATGTGCTAAATAACTAACCAAAGAAGTATTTGAATTTTTTCTTCTGTTTTGGTATGGCAGCTCTATGGATAACCTCACTAATGAGAGTGAAATCGAAAGAGTACTTCAGAATATTTGCATCATGCTAGTATTTGCATGAAAGTTTAGTTTCCATGCATGACTTGCTGCTTTATACTTATCTGAATTTTGTAAAACTTGGAAGTTCTCAATGAAATAAACATCCCCTTCGTTTAATTCATTCTGAAATTGGGTTATCAAGCTCTTGGATTGAAGAAATGCCTGGATCTTGTCACCCTGGGAATAGGACATTGCAAGAAGTCTATATGGAAGTAAACATGCACCACTTCATGATCAGAAAGAGTCCAAAGAATAAAATCCAGCAGGTTTGAATTTTAAGAGTTAATATCCATGGAAAACTTATTATGGCTTGTTGTATGCAATAGAATATTAAAAACTATCACAGAGGAGCATAACACAGGTTATAACTCACCAAGCTTTCCTCTAGATAGCATAGGAGGTTCAACAGGTCCAACACCACACAACTACATCAATAATGAAGGGAAACAATGAGAACACAAATCCATGACATAGGTGCATAATGCAAAGTGACAAGTTATCCTCCATTTTCTAAGAAATGCACGTGCTGATGTTCTGCTAAGAACACCAAACAAGTAAACTAACCTTATTGTTAAGATTTTGTTCTTTAAGAAATTTCCCAGCACCTGTTATTGTACCACCAATGCCTTTCCCTGATAAAAGTGCATCAATTTTCCCTCCAGTGCCTTTCCATATTCCTGAGCCAGTAGTTTCATGATGTATCTGAAATGATATAAAATATTTTAAACAGTGTTGTCAAGCATCCATCACAATTCACAGCCATTATGGAACAAATGCCTAGATACCTTGGGATCGGCAAGGTTTACAAACAGCTGAAGCATGTAGGCATTATGTGTCTTTGCCAATATTTCTTCGGCTTTCTGGACTGCACCTTTCATTCCCTTTGCAGGGTATGGCAATACTACCGCAGCCCCAAAAGCTTTCAGAATGATTCTTCTTTCGAGACTCATTGAAGAAGGTGTTGTAATAATAAACGTATATCCTGTTGCTGCTGTCACGAAGGTTAATCAATGCCAATATTACCACTTGTGGGTTCAATGAGGACACTCTTCAGCAAATTAATGAGAGACATTTCCTTTTCCTGTCTTCTTTTAACAGATTGTGAGAGAGAGAGGTTTTCCTTTGAGTCAACCAATGAAAGAGGACAGGAAAAATAATGAATCAAGCTACAGAAATATTGAAATATTGAAGGGAAGAGTAAAATATTGAAATCCATCATACAAGTCCCCACCGATTAAATCAAGCTACTTATCAAATACATTCCTGAATCATATAATCCAATCTAATATTGACAAGGAAAAAAATATATGCAAAGCATGATTAGTTTCATATGGTGAGAAATTCAAGCTTGGTTCTGCCTGAACAGGATTTAGTAGCATGTTCAGTCTCCTACGAAGAGAAGGTCCAAGCTGTTCACCACTCCTTGCATCTATTAAAACCAATAGCGGTCTTGCATCAGGAGGCAACTCAAACAATGCGTACTTCTTAATTAGACTATGTGTATCAGTTTTACCTTTTTCTTGCATTAAAAAAAAAAAAAAAACGAGTGTCCCTCATTTCAGCACTCTACCACTGTTCATGTGATCGAACTTCTTCTCGCAATTGGATTTCTTCACATCCGAGAAGCCACTCAATACATATGCCAAAGCTGTCTTTACGGTTGTTCATGCGATCCAGTTTATTACAGATAAACTGGCCTTCATAAAAGCTATATTTGTTCTTCTCCGACTCCTCAAGCTCCTTTCTATTTTCCCTCAGACACTTCAAACTCTCTTATTGATGGGAGAAGCGTACACGTGGAGCACCTTTCAGCTGCACGAGACAAGGTGAAATAACTCATGCGCCATGGCTTGAAGATATTGATGGGCTCAAAATATCTCAGCCCATAAAACTACCTCCAAGCCCGAATTCAGTCAGCCATGAAAAGAAGTGGCAACGCACGAAGTGGCCTATGAAAGAAAATCGAACTCAGGCATTACCGGTGTTAATTTCTACTTTTTAGCTTTTCTTTTGAAAAAATATAGGTTAAAACCTATATTTAGTCCTCTAAATTTTTATAATATTTTTATTTAGTTTCTTAGCCTTATAAAATATTTTTTCAGTCTTCTAAAAAATTTTTGTAAATTATTTTTTTAACCCTTTAACACTAACACTGTGAGTTTCAAATGATTATTTTTTTTTTTTTAAGTCATTGTTATTTTAAAAAATTTAAACATAATATATCTATATTTATTAATATTTAAAATTTTAAGAATTTTTTTTTGCTAATAAAACTAATAATTTTAGGGTTAAAGGATCAAAAAGACATTTTATAAATTAAAAGATAAAAAAAATATTGTGTAAAATAAAATAATTAAAAGTATACATTAGCAAAAATATAAATAATTATGTTGGTAGTTTCAAATAATTATTTTTTGTATAAATGATTGTTATTTAAAAAAATTAAACTTAATATGTCAATATTTAAAAATATTTTATTAAAATTTAAAATCTTAATGTAAAGAAATTTTTTTAATGAAATTAACAATGTTAGAATTAAAAGATTGAAAAGATAATTTATAAAATTAATGAACTAAAATAATCTTATATAAAATTAAAAGAATAAAAATACACATTAGCTAAAAATATAAATCATTCCGTTGGTAGTGGTAGACCACAAATCTAGGAACCTGTCAGTGGGGATAACTATTTTTTTTAAAGAAAAACAATAACTATTATCACATAGGGAATAAATTTATAACATTTGCACACAGTACCCAAAAAAAAAACTGTTTAAGCGGAACTGGTTTAAAAAGGAAAAACATAATATTTGACCCCTATAATTTTATTAAATTTTACTTTTAATCTTGCAATTTTTTTAGTATTTTTACTCCTTATAAAAACTAAAATATCAAAAAAATATAAAAAATAAAAGTAAAATCTAATGAAATTATAGAAATTAAAGTATCCTATAAAATAAAAATATCAAAGAACATAAAAGTGGAACCTAACTATGTCTTAATTTGGTCTGGGTCGGGTCAAAATAAAAAAGTGAATAGAGTTAAAAATATAAAAGTTTACCTATGCGTGGGAGGGAAGAGGATCTCTCTACTATTTTTTCCTCCACTTCTCCCATTTTCACCATTTATTAATTTTATTACTTAAAAAAATTATTTAATAAAATTATTTGAATGGTAGGGATAGAGCTGGGAAAACGGGCTGGCCCGGCCCTATAGGGCTGGCCCTTGAAAGGCTCGAGCCTAAAAAGGCCAGCCCGTTTAAGCCCGAGTTCCCTTTGAGGGGTTCAATCCTGAAGCCCGACCCTAAGCATAACGGGCTTAGGGCCGGCCCTGTGGGCTTCGAGCCCTTTTGCCCTTTTTTTTAATTTTTTTTTCTCAAATTAAAATTGGTTCAATCATTCCTTTATGACATAAGCTAAATAACAATAAGCAATAAACAATCAAAGTAAGCACAATAAACAAGTAGCAATATCCAAAGAAACAAAACATCTAAATTTAAATGAGCTAGAAGTTAGAAACACAATCTAAATGAAAATGATAGCATGCAATGAAGCCAAGATGAGCTGAATCTATCCAGTACAGTATCCACCACCAAGAACCATAGTCTCATGAAAATATTTAAATAAATACACTTAAATACTCAATAACTCAAATATCAGTAGCATCATCATTATCTTCTTCTTCTTCACTATCATCAAGCTCAACAAAATTTGATTGTGATCCACTTATAGCTGGCTCATCAAGGGCAAAAATATCAAGACTTTCTTCTTCTTCTTCACCTTCATTATCTGCAATAAATAATAAACAAAGATACTCACACAATTATAGTTATTATTTCTCATGTTGTTTGTAATTTGTATAGTAAAAAATAAAATAAATTAAAATTAAAATTACTATTGTACACAAAATCATGTAACCAATTACGAACACAAATGATAGCCTGAACATTAGTTGGAAGAATGGAACTTTAATACTTTGTTAGGACTCGCGAACCGATGCTAAAGCTGACTCACTTGCTACTGTAGTGATCGGAATGCTAAGAATATCAGTCGCCATCCTTGAAAGAATTGGATATCGATGTTGATTACTCTTCCACCAGTTTAAGACATCCAATTCTTTCCAAAAACTATCAGGCTTAGTATTGGTTCCTCTAAATAATTTCAGTTCAGACTTATCCAAGGAAGAATGGCCATAATTGCATAAATATCTTGATAATCCTGCATCATGTATTTATAAAGGATTAAAAAAATATAAAACAAATACTAGATTAATAAAAAAGGTGAAAGAATTTAAAAAGACAAGAATTTAAAACTTACATCAAAGGCATCATCAAAAGAGGTTTGATGTTGAAACACTTGAAGCCAAGGCAGAAATGAGTAGTGACCGTTGAAGCTTTATAACTTGATCCACTTGCAGCCCCATCAACTCCAAGATTGGTAAATGTCCCCATACTTGAATATTCATTAAACATGAATATTAACTTGCTCTTAATATTAGCAACCTTCTCATGGCAAGTGATAGGGTCAATCTTCGTATAGTAATATTGTATTATATTAAACTTCCATCTTGGATCAAAAACTACTACAAGTGCAAGAATGACATTGTACTCATTCCAGTACTTGTCAAACTTCTGTTTCATTTTCCTAGCCATCTCTTGAATCACAAGATCAGGGCTTTTATATTTGCATCAAGCAACATCCTAATTTTGGAAATTGCATAAAATAAGAGTTTGATGTAGGATATGATGACCCAAAAATCAACTTGTAATCTTCTCAATGGCCTCAAGAAGCTGCACATTGCATCTGCTCTAGCCACTCATCATTTGTAAGACCAAATTTGTAATTTGTATCATGATAGCCATGTGTGCAAAAGCACGGTGATATTTAATTCCACTTTCAAGCATTGTGTAGGTGGAATTCCATCTAGTGGGCAAATCTAGTCGCAAGCCCATTGAGGTGTCAATGCTACCAACTTGCTCAACACATTGTTTAAAAAAGAATTGACCTTGCCTTTGATGCTTTCACAAATTTAATACTTTCTCTAATCTTATGCAAAGCAGAACTTGTAAACTTTCAAACCCTCCTGAACTATCAAGTTTAGGATGTGAGCACAACACCTCACATGAAAAAATTCTCCATTACTCACTAATTTGAAATTATCTTGCAAACTCAACCTCTCTTTCAATATGTCCTGCATATTATCATTTGCAGATGCATTGTCTAAAGTAATGGAGAATATTTTATTCTCAATCCCCCAATCAATCAAACATTCATGCACTTTTCTAGCTAGCTCTATCCCAAAATGTGGAGGTTCCATTTTACAAAATGAAAGTATTTTACTACATAATTTCCACCTTCATCCACAAAATGAGCTGTCAAACAAATATACCCTTCAGAACTCACAGAAGTCCAACAATCAGATGTCAAACAAATTTTACTATTACTTCTCTTCAACTTTTGTTTCAAATTTTCTTTTTGTCGAAGGAAGAATTTCATAACATCAGCAACAGCAGTTTTTCTAGTTGAAAAGCCTAACATCAGGATTCAATGTCAAAAGTAGTTCTTTGATCCACTTGTATTCAACAAAGGAATAAGGAAGATCATGTTCAATTATGGCCATAGTTATAATCCTCGAATTCGCATATTATTAATTTTTCGACACCTAATATTGCCTTCTTTATCCAATAACATCACTCCAATATCATGAAATTTGTCCAAAACTTTACAAGATCTAGCATGCCTATTTAAATGTGAAGTACCATTAGTCCCACTAGATGCTAATAAAGTTTGACAGCCATTACACCTTGCTTTAGGTTTTCCATTAACCTCAATTCTAGTAAAATACTTTCAACATCAGATGTTAAAGTTCTAGCCTTTTTAGACTTGGATTCATCAGTCTCTTGAACAGAAGAACATGACTTACCTCTGGACCTTTTAGCTTTTAGTTCATCATCCACCTGCACGTCCTCTGCCTCTTGAACTATACCAGCAGCTAAACTAGGGACCATACCACTCTTTATCAATGTTCTATCATCACACTTGGCTAAATCATTGCTAGAGACATTGGTTGCCTTGCTCTTACTCTTGTGTGATTGTGAAGCAGACATTATAAATTTCAAATACTCTCTGCCTGTTGCATTGTATCAAAGTAAAAGGAATAAATTACTCACAAATCAAAGCTAGAACAGAACACTCAAATACCCAAACCCAAGCAAAAGAGGAGAAAGCTTAAACCTGTGCGAGCGATTGTGCGTGATTCAACAGATGAGGGAACAAAGAACACTAGAACTCAGCACACAGAACAGAGAACTCAGCACAATACAGCTGTGAATTCGCGAGAACAAAGATTGGTGAACAGCACGTTTAATATATCAGAGAACACGCAAGCAAAAGAGAACTCATTGCACGACCTCGACGGTAACAGTAAGACGTGGAAGATCAACG